ATATATATATATATATATATATATATATATATATATATATATATATAGGCATTTTAAACCCTTCCCACACTCTTGCAATATTCTAAACAATGTTTTTAAACTCTAAGCTCACTTACAAAAGGGGGCCAAAATTAAAATATTTTCAAACTAAGGGCCAGTTTCAGAATCTACATGAACTCAAATCAGATCCCCAACATATTTTCTTGGTCACAGGTTCCTCAAGAGTTTGATTGGTCTCATTTGATGTTCTCTGTTGTGCTTTCAAAATCATAATCAAAGATTACTGAAAAAATCAAGAGATGGAAGTATTTCACGTTTAACATATCATCCTGGGGGCCAGATAAAATGTCAGCGAGGGACACATTTGGTCCCCGGGCCTTGAGATTGACACATATGCTCTAAACGCTCTAAAAGAGCACAGAATGTCATGAACTCAGCTCTCGGCCACGCCCACTTCTCTGCTGTATAACGGAGATCGACAGAGGAGGAAGGAGGCAGGAGGAAGTTTCTCCTGCAGTATGGGCTGCACAAAGGTGCAGCAGGGTCTAAATTTATTTTAAATAAAAATTATATGCCGATCATGCAGTTAATCCATCAATCAGCCGATTGTATGTCATGTCCAATCTTATTTTGAAAAACCGCGATAGAGCGACTCCGCACAAAACAAACGGTGACGCAGCGAGGGACTACTGTACACACTTAAGTCTATTTAAATGTCCATAGGTTTTTTTAAAGTAATCTGCATCCTTTACTCAACAAATGTAAGCAGATATACATACCAAATATTAAAATAATCAGATTTCTCAATTGACAACTTGACATTTACACAGCTATAATTTTATTTGATCACAGATTGGAAAAGATAGATAAAAATTGTTCCACTGCTTTAAAACATTAAGAGCACTTTGACTTTTGTGATTAGTAAGATGGGATGGGAGACATTGTGACGTGGGAGAAAATGGAAAATAACTTAATTTGGGGATTTAACAATTCTTTTATATTGTCTCCTGGTTTTGTTTTCATGGTTTTGTTGTTCAGGACTTTTAATTTAATTTTGCTTGGTTTCTTTTTATAGTTCAACAGTTGAGTAGCTTTTCTTTAAAAGTGCTATGCTTGTTTTTACATTGAAGCTATTTGTAAAATTAAAAAAGCAAAATTATCAGAATTCTTTGTCAGATGGACACGACCATTGTTGACTTTTTTTAGTCACATTGGCTGTTTCTGTAGGTTAACTAATGTTTGTGGTAGTTAAAAGCCTGTCACCAATATTGCTTACAGAGTTTTAATTTAAGGACACGTCTTTGACAAAAACGGTGTCGATATAGTTTTGAATTAATAGGAATCAAAATGTTCATATGAATTTTATATTTACTGGTTTCATTATTTGACAGTGACTACCTTTAAGCTGCATTCTATAAATAATAAAACAATCGTGAAGCATTAAAACCACAACAATAAATGATCACGTAAAAGGAGAGGCGAGGGATGGCAGACTAGAGGTGTCAGACTGCAGGGAGCAAGCAGCCAAATCTCAGTACATTCTGATTTCCTGTGGTCCGGGGTGCATTTGAGCTCTTGACCCTCTCCTGACCTCTGTCCTTTACAACTTGCCATTTGAGAAGGATGGAGGGTTTAAATATGGTAGCCACATCTTGGCTCTCAAAAATCCAAATAGTCCTACAGTACAGCTAATCCCCAGTGTCCCATCGTAGAGACTGAAAGATCATCTGAAAAAAATAGTTACACGTCGTCTGTGAGGAACATGCATTTCAGACAGCATTACCCTGAGTGTTGGAATACAGTTTAGTCCCGTTCAAAAGCCTAAACAGCGTCTGGACAAATGTAACAGATGGATAAAGGTCAGCAGCCAGCCTCATGCGCAGATGAATACAACAGTGATAAACAGGAAGTAGCACATGTTCATCTGATCCAAGGTAACTGCAGGTAAATCCTCCGTATTCTGTCGTATCTTACTGCGGTCTTACCGTTCGTGTCATGTCAGTTCTGTTCGAGCCAACAGGGATGAAAATGTATTTGACTCTGTACCACCATGTTGGTTTACATGGATATATGGTTATTTTAATAAAAACAACAACACATGCTGCAGTTGCGATGTTTTATTAGTTGACTCTTATGAGTGACATTGTTCTCTGGCCAAACAACAGCCTGAACTCTGCTGATATCAGATCTTCAGCTGAACTTGGCTCGCTTGGAATTTCAGCTGAGTAGGTCATAAGATGCGAGCTGGAAGCTGGTGGGATCACCCGATGCAAAGACTGAAGTCGTGCTGAGTGGACTCCAGTATGACTGAGTCATGAAGAAGGGGCCGTTGTCTCGTTCAGTCAGAACTTGTCTGCTTCTCGTCTCGCCATTCTTTTTAAAAGCAGAATATATTTCAGGAGATCGATGTTCTGTCAAAGTTAAACTGGCTAGTTTTGCAGTGCCCCCTCTTTTCTACAGCCCGATATCCATTTCCACATACCCACACAGGCTGGTATGTGGACAGTAATCCTGATGCTTTCAAAAGTCATTTGTCACCAAGAGCTGACGGGACTCGACCATTCTGGTAACCAGAAACCAGGAGTTAATTTGGAAGTGGGAGCAAAGAACAGTAGAAGCTAAAACCAGTAAGGAGTTAAAACTACCGTGATCATTGATATGTTTAGGTCGTGTGGCAGTTCATGATAATTGTAACATTTGTTTTTGAATACAAAGCTCTGAGTTCTGTAGGTTCATTGATACTGATGTCACTTGTTGAGCAGCTTTTATTTTAAATTGTTTTTTATCATTTGTGGGTAACAGATGTTCACTGAAGTCACTCTTCACTTCCATCACGTCTTTCCTTAAACTGGCATCATCTTACATTTATATGCTTAAAGCAATAAAGTAATAACCCATATGTTTATTTTTGACACTAAGGTTTTGTTAATAAAACAGTTAATAGTTAAACAGATGTCTAAATGAAGTGCTGATGGGCCATTGTTGGCCTTGCTGCACCACTACGTTTTTTATAAAAAGGGGTTAGTTGTGTAAAAATTTAATAAAAACAAGCACAATGATTTGAAAATCTTATTTAAATAAATTAAAATAAAGGGTAATTTTGTATTTAATGGCAACATGTTCTTTTTGAAGTTGTTCCAGGTCCATCTTCTCTTCATTCAAATTCAAGTTCAAGTCAACTTTGTTGTTTCTACCACGAGGTGGAACAAAATTATTTACACAGGGTCCCAGTTACAGCCAAAAATGGCTAAATATAAAGTATAAAAAGAAACGGTAAACAAAGATCAACATATACGTTGAACAAACTCCAAGCAGTTCGCTAAAAGATCTAAGATGTACGCTCAACACTAATGATGTAACAGCAGCAGCCCGAACATGAGTCTGTGGTGAGCAGATGAGTATGAAGGAATACAGCAACATGAGGTATCCTGATGCATGCTCAATAATCCAGGTAGAAAAATCTAAAAGAGTTCAATCTGGTCCTCTGGACATTCAAAAAAACAAAACAAAGCAAATCAACAAAAAAATGTAGAAACGTTTCGTCTCTCATCTGAGAGACTTCCTCAGTCTGAGGTGCTGTATTCAGCTCAGTCTCTTAAATAGTACCTTCTCAGAGTGGATCAACCAGTTTTGCTGCTGACAACCAAAACCAGCTGATCACATGCTCAAGAAGGACCATCAGCCTAACAATGGATCATTAGCACACTGATGGCTGTTTACTGTTCACAGAGGGCTGAGTGATACTAGCAATCACAGCATTGTAAGAGGGGGACAGTTGAACCTGGAGGCCTCCACCTCTGTTTAATGATGGACGGTTTCACAAAGATGGCCTCCTTTACTCCTCTCTCAAACCATCGTTCCTCTCTGTCCAGGATGTGAACATCTTCATCCCTGAAAGAGTGAGGTAATCAGTCTTATAATGATAGAATTATAATAATATCGGTGTTTCTGGAGGACTTGAAGAGACCAGTTGTTAGAGGACTATGTTGTTCTATTCTGGTCTGATGGAGGTTCTAGCTCTTCTACAGTCCTGGATCTTCTTTGCTGGATTGTTTG